AAATTTCTTGAGAATCTTTCATGTTTTCCCTTGTTGGATCATTTAATTTTGGCGGGGAACAAAATTACTAGCCTTCCCACATCCATCAATAAGCGTGATAGTTTGACCCGTCTAGCAGTTCCAGATTGCCATCAATTACAAGAGATTCCCGAGCTTCCACCATTTTTGGATTTTTTTGGGGCGGTTAATTGCGAATCTCTGCAAAAGATTGGAAAATTTACTTCATCTCATGATTTTGTCCGAAGAGTGTTTACCATGGATCATATTTTCTCACGTGGCCAGGTTAGACTCTCTCTCTCTCTCTCTCTCTCTCTCTCTCTCTCTCTCTCTCTCTCTCATGCGCATTCATGTGGAGTATGTGCGGGCTGTAGTGTGTGCTTGTATATTGCAAAATCAGAAAATGCAAGATTTGAGGCTTAAGAAAAGCAAACAAATCTAAAGAGGTTCTGCACGTATAGGTATGTAATGGAGGCGGCTACTGTACTTTTATGGGAATGATTTCTATCGCATGAGACCTGTACATTAATGCAAGCATGGATCAGTGGATCTCTACTCATTTTTGTGACATTCTGAAATCCGACCCACTTGGGATTTATGAAATGAATAGTTTATGGACGTGCTTGTAGTTAGATCTCGCCCGGAATTGATCACTTCGGGAATACTAACCGTTAGGGAAAGGCTAATTAGGGATTTAAATTCGCGCGACCAAAGAACTCGATCGTGAACCGACTTTCGATCATGAAAATTGTCGAGGTGACATTTTGAGCCAATGAAGGCCGATCCAAGGATAGTCAAGGATCAGTTCGCCGCTGTCATAGTAGTGGATCGCGGGTGATTCCGCTTGACCACGGAATGAACTAACAAATGACCCTAAACCTATACCAAACGATCGTGCCCATCGGAACTAGCGATCGGTCCTCGCAATTAAGTGACAACCGAGGTCGTCACGACCCGAGTGAACTTGAACGTGGCTTGATTTAGTATCGGCCACGGGTCAAAAGTGCGAATTTCCCCAAAAGCCACCCGTTAGTCTGAGATATGCTCAAGTTACGTTATTTAGAACTTAGTCATTAATTAGAGATCAAGTTGGGCATTCGAAATATAGAAAGTCACGACAGATCGTCCGGACGACGTTGTCATTAGCTCGGTTAGCTTCGGATTTGTCCGAATCCTTCAGAAAAATCGAATTTCGACGAGAAATGAAAAATGACCGTTTTACCCCTGGAAGTTTGTTAAGGCCAAGTGTATTTGGGGAAGGGCATTTTGGTCATTTCGCCTTAGCATTGGAAATAGAAATTTTTGGACAATTTTGCCCTTGGATTTTTTGTGAAATCCCCAAATTACCCTTGGATATTTTAAAAGAGATTCGATCTCGGCCGTCGATCTTAGGATAAGATCGAATCTTGACCGTTGATTTGATTTTACAGAGGAGGGCATGATGGTCAATTGGCACACCAATAATTGACCTTGGATTATTTAAAGCCAAATTTCTCTCTCTATCCTCACTCTCTCTCTCCCTCTCGGCATTCCATCTCTCTCTCTCTCCCCACCCGACCGAGCCCTCCCTCTCCTCACCGTGACCGTGACCGTGGCTGGCTGCCCAAGCCAGCCGCCACCGCCGTCCACCCGCCTGGCCGGAGCAGCCGCTTGCCGGAGCCGCCGCTCGCCCACCGCCCCTCTCTCTCTCCTGTTTTATCCTCACCGAGCACCACCATCAGCCCCCCCCTTCGGTCCTGTTCAGCCGTGGAAAGCCAGCAGTCCGCCAGCCACCGCCGCTCGCCGTTCAACCGTCCGCCGAGCCGCTCGCCGTCGCCGCTCACCGCCGCATGGCCACTGGCCTGCCGCCCCATTTCCACTCTAGCCGAGCTAGCCTAGAGTCCGGGTAAGTCACCCCCTAAACCCTATTTAGGATGTTGGGTATCGATAGACACGATTAGGGGCTAAATAGGGTTAATTAGTGACGGTTTAGGGGTTAATTAGTGGTCGTTTAGGGGTTATGTTGGTGGACTGATTTGGGGACTTGAATTGGCTGAATTGTGGGTGAATTTGTGATGTTCGGGACTGATTTGATGTGGAATTAGGTGCTGAAAATTGTAGCTCATATTGATGAGCATATGACTTGATTTGGGGACTAAATGGTGTCGGGTTGGCGAGCCGTGTTGTGGCTGTATTGGTGTGGTAATTAAGGCTGGAAATGGACTTGAAAATATTGAATTTTATGCCATGATTGTGGCTGTGTTTGTGGGCCCGATAGTGGCCTTGTATGTTTATTGGATCGTGGCTTGATTTATTGAAATGTGGGCCGTTATATGCACGCATGGGCTGAATTAAATTGATTGTCAATTGGTCGTGTTTGGGTGTTCATTAAGCATGAGAAATGTGTGTGGTTTGGTGCGTGCACGGGCCAAGTGTGAACGGCTAATATATTGACATGATGGTGTCGAGCAAGTGAACGAGTGAAAAATTATGTGTGGTGTGGTATGTGTGGTTACGGAAATCCCTGAGGCGGTACCATTACGCGGGGAATTGATCCGTCCTGAGGCGGTACCATTACGCGGGACGATGCCCGGTATTACCGGAGGACGGCCAACCTGAAGCGGTACCATTACGCGGGTTGTGTCGTAGGTGGTGGGTGTTGAGCCTGAGGCGGTACCATTACGTGGGCAAGATACACAGCCTGAGGCGGTACCATTACGCGGGCCCCGAAGTGTTGTTGATATGAGTTAGTCGCAGTGAACCTGAGGCGGTACTACTACGCGGGTCACTGGCGAGTTGAGTGGAAAATATAAGATGGTCGCAGTAAACTTGAGGCGTTACTATTACGCGGGTCACTGGAGAGTTGGGCGAAAATAGTGTGTGAAATGCGTGTGGAATGTGCATGTGGTTGAAAATTATGTTATTATGGCTAACGTGCAGGTTGCACGCATGAAAAGCCAAGGTAAGTGCAATTGTGTGCTTGTGATGTGCTTATTGAGTGTTATGATGTTTGGTCTTGTCTGGAGGTACATGATAGCCTAGGCGGGGTTTAGGGTGTGTGCTTATTGAGATGTAATCTCATGGTTGTTTCAACCAATAATTTCAGAACCTCGGCCTGAGCCATGAATCTTTCGCCACCGCCGCCACAGCATTTTGGGATTCCTATGCACACCGTTCATAATGTTGTAGAGTATCCGGTAGACGACAATAGGACCTGGATTAAACATACCACCGTAGTTTGGGTAGACGTAGGACTACCTCTTTGGCAGGCCCATACCTACGTTGCCTGGATCTTTAGAGACGGGATAGATGAGTTTGGCCCCGTCCAAGGCTTCGACGTCCCTTTTGATGGAGTAGGGGATTGGGATCCGACAGCCGTACCCCAACCTGATGGTGAGATGACTAGTTTGGAGACTAGTCTGGCACAGTCTGGACATCATGCCGCTCCTGCAGCACCTGAGCCTCCCGTGGCTGAGCCTGATCCGGAGCCGGAGGAGTCCCAGGCAGGGTACGACCCGATGGATGTGGATCTCGAGGTGATACCAGAAGAGGAGCTAGGAGAAGAGCCTGAAGATGAGCCTGAAGAAGACCAAGAGATGGGACCAAAGGACGCACCCGAGGGTGAGCCAGAGTATGCGCCAGAGCTCGATCCCGAGTTTGTGCCAGAGGACGAGTCGGATGAGGAGCCAGAGGAAGAGAAGCGGGTCGAGGTTCCAGTGGAGTCAGGTGATATAGACAACCCGATCGAGATCGAGGCAGAGTCGGATTCCTCAGAGGAGCAGACAGTTCAGGGGGATTCAGATTCAGGTTCCGAGGAGTCAGACTCTGAGTGGACGCCATCTAGAGGACATAGGGGCTAGTGTAGGGGCTAAGGGGTAGGCTTTTTAAAATGTACCATTTTTGGGAGATAGGGTATACCAAGCTGCTGATAATTTTGGATGTCGGTGGTGCATAGTTAGATATTCGGTGTGCTTGTATATTTTGGGTTGTATATGTGGATATTGTATAAATTTGGATAAGTAATGGATGTCGATACTCCCTCTTTACCCCTAGTTAATTCTTGTCCGGGTATTTGTAGCTTTCGCTGATTGATTTAAATCTCTGATAAGCTGAATTGGGTCGGTGATTTACTGGGATGTCGCAATATTCGACCGTAGATGGGTGTTGCGTGCTCGATGGGGTTCGGGGCGTGACAATTTTAGAGCTCTAGTTCGAAATGGATTGCTTACTAAACTTCAATTGAATTCATTTATTTGGTTATGAATAACAAATTTGGGTACATTCTAACGGGTTGTCTTACAATAGAATAGTTTTGGTTTCTCTGCCTTGCTCCCTGGAGAAGATATGCCAGAGTGGGTCATCCCTGTTGAAGAGGATTTCATATCTTTCATGGCTTCAAAGGACTTGTACGACAAGTTTCTTGGATTTGCTCTCTGTGTCGTTGTTAAAACTGATAACGAGACAAAGAAACAATGAATTGGGATTACACTACGTGTTAACGGCGAACATCGGCTAGCCACCGGACAATCTTTCAGATTGTTGGATTCGGATCATATTTGGTTTAGATATATACCTTCTAAACTATGGGGAGTAGTCGATTTTGGTCAAATTGAGGGGAGTTATGTACAATTTCACATTGCAGTATCCAGCAAAATCATAAAAAAGTCGGGATTCCGAATAATATGCAAGCAACTAGATGACGATTTAGACGGTGTGCTTCAAGACAATAAGCTAATTGATCCAGCTTTCCTCTATGAGGTTAGTCATGACTCAACAGATTCAGAAGCCGAGAGTTCACTAGTTCAGACTGAAATAGATTTGCAGAAAGACTTGGAAGACTGTCAAATGAGCACCAAGAAGTATAGTCAAATAGCACTAAAGAGAAATCATAATCCTATTCTCACTCAAGGCATACGAACCAAGACTATGTTGACTTCCAATTCGATTGGCAGAGATGAGTACCGTGGTGTTGGCTTACAGCTTTTGTTGTCAGAATGATGGAAACTTGCCAATGAAGCAATTCGTAGGTAAGTGAACTCAGCTGATCTTGATTAAAATGCCTTCTTTCTTCTTGTTCCTTCTTGTTTTCCTTTCTCAGAAAAACCAGTAACACGCTGTTAGTACCTACTTTTGCCCAAGTTAACTGTACATCCTAACTAAAATCCTGTTATTCTTTCTTCTCTTTTATCACTTTTCTTTGTATTTAGTTTTTCTCTCTTCTTTTGGGGGATCCTCTTTTCTCCGCCAAAGGCAAACTTCGGACTCCACCGATGCCACTTTCAACGTCACGACTGCTCCTCTTCCATCCGACACCACCGAGCTCTGACGAATGTAAGATCGCCACCTGCCGATGGAGGCGATGAATAGAAGAAGAAGTTCGTCTTTCTGAAACAGTCTTTATCGAAGCCACGGCGACGGAGGTCAGCGAGCGGAGGCAACGGACTACCACCGCCGTCCGAATCAATGGAAACCGATGACGTTGCTTCGGGGGAACCATTCTCGCCTGAGGTTTTGGGCTTTGTTCAGCTTGCTATGGATCAGGTAAAGCCTGGCACATCCGAATTGCATTAGTTGATGTGATACTTGAGCTGGATTTTGAATTCGATTCGTTCGGTGCTGCTATTGCGCGGGGACTTGATTAACGTGTCGTTGAATTTGTTTGAGAGATGTTGAACTAGTGTTTCTTTGTAAGTTTTGTCTGTGGATGCTTGGTAGTGAATTCATTGGTAATCGACGTTAGACGCTACAAAATCCGTGACAATCTCTAGAAGGTCTAGCTTTTCTTGAGAGAGAGAGAGAGAGAGATTTTGGGGGTGCTTTTGACATGTCTGGGAAATGAAGTATGTACCTATCGTAAAGATGTGCAGCTGGTGACAAGTTTGCCAGGACAATTGAATTTTGAGAAACTTCGATCACTAGGATAGGACTCTGTGGCTAAGTTTTGTCAGGCACTTGAAGAGGCGAAACTATAGAGGGATGAAGAAGTTGCAGTGAGATGACAAGCCACCACGTAGTGTTGCTTGATAGTCAAGTCATTTTACCCCTTTTTGACTTTGGCAACTAGGGAGAAATAAAACCAATTCTAGTTAGGGCATGACAGTAATATGAACATCGGTTTGTGCCCATGGATAACTGGTTAGGTGGTTATTTTCTCTCGCCCTGTGGACTGTGGATATGAAAAAGAAAAGAATCATGAGAAACATGGAGTTTGCATAAATTATTCTGTTGAATAGAGACAAAAGCACACGAAGCTGATTGTCAATTCTGATTTCTCTGGCCTTTGCAACAGTTTAAAGTTCTCTTTTTATCCTTATGTTCCACAGCGTTTATGAAGGAAATTGAGCTAGAAACTAAAACTCCCGGAAGCTTCTTGAATGTTTTAGTGGAACCTGATTAATGAAAGATAAACTTCTGAGGTACCAATAATAAGATGCACTGGAATGAGCAACATGTAGTTTCTCAAATTTGCTGCTGTTTTTGCTTTGGTGTTCTTAGAGCCACGTCAGTTTAAGTGTAGGTGGGATTTGCATCTGAATTATAGGATGAGTATGTACTAATAATCATTACTTGGAAATTTGTGACCAGTATATTATACAGGACCTACAAGATCTTGATGATATAGCTATGAGACATGGATTCATTCCATTAGTAGCTACATACTGATACTGAAATATTTCTACTGCTGGCAACTTGATGCTGATTTCCCCTTGAATTGCCTGTATGCACGTACGAGGGAAATTCAAACTCTTATACTCATATTTTTCCTCCGAACAAGTAACAAGACCAATTTGCTTTTCTAATATAAGGCAAAGCTTGCTTTGGACAGCTTTGAAGTTCCAGTTGGGTAAGAAACAGATTTTCAGTAACCAGGTGCATCTCAGATATGCTACTTTATTTTCTAATTAAGATGATTAGTATTTTCAGTCCTAATTAATAAATGATTTCACTTTGTACTTTTTTTAAATTATACTTTGATTGAACAGCTGTGTGATTGTTGAGGAAGGGCATCTTATTGTGGCAGGAAGAAACAGGACTAATGAGACACAGAATGTATGTCTATCATTGCTTCTCCACCCCTTTATATAAATTTTGGCCGGCAGCACTTTGTTGTTGTTCTGAATTGATACCCTCACATTATCCACTCGTAGTTATTGTTGATTTTTTTGTGTTTCTGCCTTAAACGTTTCTATAATATATAATAAAATAGTATATCTGAACAAATCTGTTAAAAAGTGGAATTTTCTGTGCATTATTAGTCTGTAAATGGTTTTGTTCCCATTATTCTTTCATAAAATATGACTAAAGCTAACAATAGCAAGAATCTTGGTTTACTATGTACAATGTTTCATGTTTCTCGTTTGCCACTGTGCTCTGTCTGAATTTTGGACCAAGAACAGTCAAAGAAAAAGGTTCAACGAGGAGAGAGGAAATTGGGGAATGACATTTATTTTTTTGAAAGATATAAAGCCGTTGCAAGCTGCTGGACCAGAATGTTGACTGCTCATGGATTGTGTTGTATTGCATGCTTGAATATGTCAATGAGTACTGATTGCCTAAAACAGATTATAAATTTATAGATTATTCTGAGTACATGTTTATTCTTTACATTACAGGAGAGTGAGTTGTTATCGTGGCTTCACCTCTCTTGATTAAAAAGATGTAGAGAGAGATGCAAAATTCTAAAGGTATGGGAAGCGAGTTAAGAGACTTTGCAAAATCTCAGGGATAGGGAGGATAACTGCAATTTCACATAAAATTTCAAAGAATATAACGCTTGAGTACTAGAAATTAGATCGAATACCTAATAGTAAGGAGAATGCTCTTCAAACAATGTCCACACCTTCACATTGAAGAGCAGCAAGAGTTGTCCATGCTTCACGCATAAGATCCTCTCTGAGACTCTTAGTGTTGTGGGTATTTGAAGAAAGAACTGAAATTCCGGATAAGGTGTGTTGATGAATCTGTCTTAAAGACAGTGGTTCTTCCAATTGGAGTCTTGATCTAATGCAATTGGCTCTGATGAAAATCCTGTCCCTAGGATACAATGTACACACTGTAATTTTCCTCACTTAGTCTGCAGACCGAGCAAAGGCTGAACATAATTCAAGCCTTGAAAGTATAGTCAACATGGAGCAGATACGAAAGAGGCGATTTGAAGATGAAATTGATTTGGAATCAAATGTTAAGCAAGAGTGAAAAATAAATAAACGTGAAGGAGAAAACATTTTTCATGAAATGCATTTCCTAAGTTTATGTTGATACTACAATAAGAGCAACTTTCTCTCTGCAAAGCTCCTAAGTTTGATACGCTTTCTTTATTTTTCTCCTTGTGCATTCCTAGGCAACAAGACATGCAGAAATGGAAGCACTTGACGTTCTTTTTGAAAAGTGGCAGAGGACTAGATTTTCGTCTGCAGAAGTTGCAGAGAGGTTTTCAGCATGCTCTCTTTATGTGACATGTGAACCATACATAATGTGTGCAGCAGCATTATCGATCATTGGTACATCTGTTGATCATACTGAAATAAAACTAAACTTTCATAAAATTTGATTAGTCATAAATGATTAGATGACTCTTAGCCATTTTTAGGTATAAAAATGGCTGTGCAAATGATAAATTTGGAGGCTATGGTTCAATACTGCCGATGCATTCAAGTAGCTCTGAGCTATCCATTAGGTCAGTTTCTGAACTTGCTTTTGTTGCTGATTTGGTATCTACGTAGCTTCACTTAGAAATTGTGACATATGATATTTGACAACTAAAGCTTACCACAGGTTTATGACTCCTTCTGTTTATTACTGATGGATGTGGTTTCGTAGTAATTCTGCTTGTTGTCGCACTTTGAATATTGCGACACATAACAATGAAAATAAATGGAGGTTTATGGAAAATAATTTTTCACCTTTTCTGTCCTTTTCCAAGTCTGAATGGAAGAAAGTCGAGTTTCCTTTTTTTTTTTTAATTCTATGCGACTTGTTAGACATTTCCTTTTTTGTTTTGCCCTAAACATTTACTGTTCTGGGAAGTACTACAAGTTAAGGTAACATTAGTTTGTTCTTTCCATTTCTCTTTCCCCCCCTGTTTCTTCATCTCATTTTCCTCGCTTTTTTCCATTGCAGTGAGATTCTTTGATGTCTTTAATATTATCAATTTTAAAGCGGGAAATATAGCATCTTCAAAGAAATATGATTTAACTATGAGGAAATTATGCTTATTCTGATATGTCTTTACTCCATGTACTTAATAAAGAAATCTCTTTTTCTTGTTTATTAGTTGCAATTGTCTCCTCTTGCATACATGAGGGCATGTGCTTGGTAAATTGTGGTGTATGGCATGTATTTCCATTATGATTTTTCATCTGTCTGACGCTGCCATGATCTAACATTTCATGTTTCCTGAGATTGTCCAGAAGTCATCAATTTTTTACTCAGACTTTGTCGACATAAAAGCTAAAAACGTAATGAAATAAGATCTGTTTAATTGTGATTTGAGTAGTACATGGAGTAGCTAATGTAGATTACAGACAATGTCTTTCTGCTGAATTATCAGTTTTGAAAGAAGAAACTCAAGTACGGGGAGGAAGGGGGGGGGGGGGGTGTTGGAGGAGCAAGAGTATGAGTAAAAAATTTTAGGGGGGAAAAAATAAGCCATGAAAATTTTAGAGCAAGAGATTGATACATATGCTACTCTTGATAATCTGGTTATAAGGAAGAAGAAAGAGTATGAGTATGAGTATGAGTATGAGTATGAGTGAAAAATTTTAGGGGGGAAAAAATAAGCCATGAAAACTCTAACTTTTAAAGCAAGAAATTGATACTTATGCTGCTCTTAAGAGTCTGATTAGAAGTCAAAAGTATTGTGGGAAATACGAACTAGCTCATTGCCTTTCTGAATAGGACATCAAGCAAGAGGACGCATCTTTCAGATAAAGTACCACCTTGCTCAATTTCCACTGCGTGGAGCTCAAAAACTAGTCCTAATCATTGCTTAGTTTCATGTTAGAGAGAATGACTGTTGTTATAACGGTGAGCATGGTTCATATGCAATGTTTGGAAGATGTAGCTAATTGAAACCCATCCTAGCCAGTATTAGTATACAAATCATTTGCAAATCTTCTCTCTATCAGATTCCCCGTGCCAATATCTCTCTGAAGAGAACTTGCCATCCATGTTAAAAGCCCCGAAGTATCCCCTGCTTACAGCTTTTGTTTGTTCTCCAAGGACATAGGTTACACTTCAGAGATAATTTACTTGCCTGAAAACCTATTTCCGGGAGTACAGACATTTCTTAAAATTGATATTCTTAGGACCTAAGCGTAAACTTCCTACGTTGAGCACATTCCTTTATTGGTGAACTTGTTTTTGCTTAGATGGTACCTTCTTTTGCAAAGTGCTTTCATTAGTCTGCTAAATTATATCTTGCTTGATATTTGGACATGTTTTGCAAATGGAATCTGTCATTGGGTGGTTTTCACATAAATTTCATCTATGTTTCCCCTTTCATGTGTCTACCCGATTTATGAATGTTTCCAACTTTTTTCTTGTTTCTCTTGCAGTAATGGAAATTCTGGATCAAAGTGTTTCAAATGTTGTGGAGGTATAATGGCATCAGAAGCGATTTCTCTTCTTCAAGATTTTTATGAATGAGGAAACCCAGATGGTATGAACGACGATCAACCATTTTAACCAGATGAACTGTCTGTTCAAAAGAATGTTATAATCTTGTAGTTAGCAGCTATTTACATTGGATAACCTAAGGGAAATGATCGTTCTTTTTCAATGGACCCCTAATTAAATGCACTCTTTAAGAGGCCTTTATGAGCATAATAGAGCAATTCTACCTTACGAACCAAAGTTTACTTTATCAATCAATGAACTTGAGCATTATGCCTGCTAGCAACATCTCCCTGAAGCACCCCTCCGAATAAAGCTCTTTCAAAATCTAATGCTATGGTCTTTCTAGCACTCATCCCCATTCATATTGATTGAGAAGAATTCAGGAAGCCTCATTTTGATTCTACTTTTCAATCAATTCTCTCAACCAGCTAGAGAGAACTGTAGCTGGGACTTTCCGTAATTTTGGAAATCTTGCTGAACAACTCTCTCTCTCTCTCTCTCTCGTCCATACGTAAATGGTTTCTTTCAGTAAAATATGTTATTGTACTGTTGGTATGGAGAATTATCTACCCACATTCCAGGTAAATAAAACTGGCCCAGTGGAATTGTTTGTAATTATATAAAGGATAATGAAATTGGTAGCATAGAATTAGTGGGTCGTTGGCTGCATAAGAATCCATTCAGAAGTTTGACACATCAAGGATAAGGAGCACATCTTGAGATGGTGGGTACACTTGTCCAGACCGACACTAGGTCTAGTTGCTTCAGTGGAGTGGTGTTCAGCCATATAATGGTGTTGACACCTATTTTAATTTGCCAAAAAATTAATTGCACAAAATTTAGGAATTAATCTTCTTTAATTCCTAAAACAAAAAAATATTTCCATTTAAATGCATTGCATATAGAATTTAGGCACATTTGCATTAATAGGGTCTATTAGAGTGTTTAAAAAAAAAGAAAAGAGAATTTCCGAGTTGGGCCGGGTCGGGGCCGGGCCGACCTGGCCCTTTTCCTTTTCCTTTTTCTTCCCCCCCCCCCCCCGCGGCCCTCGGCCCTTTTCTTCTTTTTTTCTTCCCCTCCCCGCGGGCCCAGCCTGCTTCTTTTTTTTCTTTCTTCCTTCTTTTCCCCTCCGCGCGGCTGGGCCCAGCTCGGCCCAGCTTCCCTTCTCCTTCCTTCTCCCCTGCGCCGGTCGCTTTCTCTTCCCCTGTTCTGGCCCCAGGGTGACGCACGATGGCGCAGCCCCGAACCGTCGCTATCCGGCCAGAGCAGGGCCGACGGGACTGGCATTAATTGCCAGTCCCGTCCTCCCCGTTTTCCCGGCCTCCCTTATCTCCTCCTCCCTCTCTTCTCCCTGTTTCTCTCTGTCATCCCAGAACCTCCCCCTGCACCGGCCTAAATGGCCACAAAAGTCTTCGGGCGGCGTAGGCCGGTGCAGGCCGTCGTCACGCGGACGTAACGGAGCAGAGGGGCTTCGTCGTTCGCCTATAAAAACGAGAGAGAGAGACTGAGAGGGGGTCGGCCATTTTCAGAGAAAAAAACAGAGAGAGAGAGAGAGATAGAGAGAGAGAGACCGAGAGAAAAGAGAGAGAAAGAGAGGAGATTCGGGCTTCTACAGGTTCCCACAGCCGCGCCGTCGACCGCAGATCAGCCGGAAAGCCTCCAGCCGCGCCGTCGACCGATGAGCTTCCCCCAGGTCCCGACCGCCTCTATTTTCCCCTGTTTTTGTGCTTGGTTTGGCCGGGACTCGCGCCGGCCGTTTCGCGCGAGTCCCGGCCCATACCGCCGTCCCCCGTTGTCCGTGTGTCGTCGCCAGAGGTAAGAACAGGTTTCCCGAGGATGGCGGGGCCTCAAAACAGGTCGGAATCTTCTATTTTTGGTAGTGCACACCCGGTGTTCGACAAAATGCCTCAATGGGGCCGTTTTTTAATTCGGTTGCCGCCCGACGAACGGTCGCCGGACGGTGACCCAGGTGGGCGGCGAGGTTTGGTGGTGGTCCCAGGGGGCGGATTTTGGTCGGTGGCGGTCTGGGTCGGCCGGCGAGAGGCCGATTTTCGGCTTCGCCGGCGCCTGCGCACGCGGGTTCGGCTTGACTCGGTTCAGCTGACCCGACCCGGGTCAATGACTGGGTCGGATCAATTGACCCTAGTCGGTCTTACCGATCCAGATCAACTGACCCGACTCGGATCAACCGATCCAACCCGGGTCAACGCCCGGGTCGGATCCGTTGACCCGGGTCGGTTCCGACCCGGCCCGGATCCGCCGACCCGGTTCCTTTTTTTATTTTATTTTTTTAATCTTTTTTTTCTTTTCCACATTTATTTTATTTTATTTTATTTTATTTCTTTTTTCTCTCTAAATTATGTGGTATATCTAAGTGTTTTAATGTATTATTGTATTATTATGCATGTTATTGTCTTGTTTAAATTAGACAAGCCTGAAGTTGAGCGGTAGTATTTTGCATGTTAGTTTTTATTACCGTTGTATTATTATGCATGTTTTTAATACGATTGCATAAACTGTTGTGTTTTTGAATGTCATCTGACTTAGTTAGGTTTAGAACCTAAGGCTGCATATTTATCTTGACTGCTGATCGTTTATAATTTGATCACCTCACATGTTAGGAGAAAGGTCTTAAAACCAATCCAAATTGCCTGACAAATATTTTCATGAAATGAACAGGATAAAAAGGTACCGAAAGGACATTAGTTATCCAACTAGTGTAACCAAGTCCCCGAACTCAGTTAATCTCTGGTTCGCAGGAATAGGGTGATTCTCCCATCACCTTATTTGGGTTTCTAATCGACCCACCCCAAATCGATTAGTGGCAACTCCTTGGTATAAACTATTTGCATGTTAAAAACTTAAACCCTAAGTCGCGATATGGTATGGGCTTGGGAGAGCTTGAGTTAAGTCTTGAACCTAGACTTAGCACGTACCAGGCGAAACCCCCTCTTTTTACACGATTAAAAAAGAGCGGGGAGGTCGGTCGCGACAGACTGGCGACTCCGCTGGGGACTTGCATTTTTTAAAGTGGACTTAAGCCAAAATTTTTTTTTATCC